TAATCCAGTATATCCCTGAGATCCCGTAACACCTGTCAATCCAGGTGATCCTGTCATACCTGGTTGACCAGTTCTTCCTGTCCATCCCGTATTTCCAGTTGATCCCGTATCTCCAGGAACTCCTGTTCTTCCCATAAATCCTGTGTCTCCAACGCTGCCAGTAGATCCAGGCAAACCAGTGTCACCTTGGTTCATCAAGGTTCAGTAAATATTATTCTACTGATACGATAAAACAATTTGATGTAATTTAAAAATAAATTTCTTGAGTTAGAAAATTCTAATCACTCAATATTGTCAGAATTATGAAATAATACTGACTAAAAATACTGCAAAATTTTCAACGCGAAATTTATTCACTCGATAGGGGGCATGGTGCAAGTTAATTTACTCGATAGGTGACGACGATTTTTTTTGTTTTGCAATTTAGATGACGTCATAAATTATTACAAATTATTTTAAAATTTAATTAGTAGTTTTTTTTTATTAATTGGACATACCTTGGAAATTTTTATTTTTTTAAAACACCCGAAACAAAATCTAATTTTGCTTTGATAAGGAAGGGTGTGAAAAAAGGACTGGGTTGACTAGTGAGGCAGCTTCGATTAATCAGTGCCTCTTCTGGTCCCTAAGGGACTTAACGCGTGATTCTATGCTCATTAGCATAGTTTCAGAAACGTCTTAAGTTCTCAAAGATTCAGCCTTGGGTTCACCAGTTAGGCAGCTTCGAGTAATCAGTGCCTATTCTGGTATCTAAGAGACTTAACGCGTGATTCTGGTCGAACTCACGATAAAAATATACACAAAAATTATTGTCGGACCATACAAAAATTCCCTGAGAAAGATAGAGGAGGAGATTACCTCACACCACCAGCTGTTTTAATTGTTTTCATTTATAAATTTTCCGACAATTGGCGCCCAACGTGGGGCTTAGTCATAATTTGAAAACCTCCTCCTCATTCATATTATTATTTTAAAATTTCCGACAATATTATCTGCAGCCGAAAAATTCCCAACAGAAAACAAAATCAGACGAACTCCGTTTTTAAATATTTGATATTGTTCACAAAATTCAAGATAACCTGTATTTCCCGGTAATCCAGTATATCCCATTAATCCAGGATCTCCCGGAAATCCCGGAAAACCTGTCAATCCAGGTGATCCTGTCATACCTGGTTGACCAGTTTTTCCTGTCCATCCCGTATTTCCAGTTGATCCCGTATCTCCAGGAACTCCTGTTCTTCCCATATATCCTGGCGCCTTTATTTCCATTTTCGCCTCCGTGAAAATTTCTTAGAAATAATTGTAGACGTAATAACTACATTGAAATTATTATTTTTATCTATAATAAATAATAACATGGGTCCGACTGGCATATTTTTAAAAGTAATTATTGCATGGCCGTGTAAAGGCTGCTTGGGTGAAAATGGTTGAACTTTAAAGATCAAAAGTATTACACTCTTCCTAAACGCACTCACACACACACACACACGCACACACACGCACGCACACACACGCACGCACACACACACACATTATTATTATTATTATAAACAGCGATTAATCAAAACGACAGAGACTTTGGATGTTGGATGTTTTAATTGGTTAAAATTTTCAATACTTACATACATAATAACAAATGATCAGCCCGTCAACGTCATCGATAAGCAATTGTCTTTCAAGTAAATAGATTATATTAGAATAAATAATTCACCAACCATAATTTAAATTGGGACAATCACCCACCCCCAGCTGGTTATACCGGGCAGATATAGAAAATCATTTTTAATGAAAAATCAAAGTTTGAAGAATAAAAAATGCAATACTAAGTATTTCAGTCTTGTTTTTGTTGAAAGCCGATATGAAACTGTTCACATTGTATCTCATCTCTTCGTATAATTTATCCAGT